TATGAGAAGAATTTCGACGTTTCGAGCGAAGGCCCACATTGACACTAAGATTTTACATGCATTGCTCTTTTGATGTATATATCCTCACTCCTGTCAAATTGACACTATTTGACGGAAAACGTACTACTCGTTTGGCATCGAAAAATTGAAGTTCAAGGGCATTTACACTTCTGCCTCAAACGCACACTTTACTATCGAATTTTCCTGAATAGTATACACAGGTGTCAGATTTTTCTCAGCGAGGTAAGAAATGTTACGTCTGCTGTTCTTTGTCCTGTTATCCATCTGCTCTTCGCTTGTGGTTTATTTCTTATGGATTAAAGAAGAAGAAATAGGCCTAAAGCCAATTGTCATGGTGGAGCAACGTTTTGATTCTGTGCGATCGACAATTAATGTGGTTGAAGCACCAGTGACGCTTTTTATGCGGATGACCGGAATGCACATAGAGCGATTTTACTGTGACTTTTTGAGGACAGCCGTCTTGTTTTGGCCTGCTTCGTATGGAAAACTAGTCCTGGTTTTCGATCAGGAATCGTCACTGGATCACAAACTAGCGAACATTTTGGAGAGACAGTTTCATCAATTCTTCCCAGATCGCAAACTTAAAATACTCTACGAGCCTCTTCCGATGAATTATGAAACGCTGTTGAAGCTTCCTTGGCCGAAACGTGACACTGGCTACAATCGTCAAATTTGGAGCAGCTTTTTTAATGATTTATACACGAACGACACAGTCATTGCGTGGGTGGATTCTGACACTGCATTTTCTACTTCAGTGACGCGAAATTCCATGTACAACGGTACGCGATTGAGAGTGATGGGAACTGATTGCACGCTATTACACGCAGCGTTTGCTAGAGGTTGTGTGAAAAGCGCAGAGATCTCCATTGGGCTACCGGCTGTAGCGGACTTCATGCTGCATTTCCCTGTATACATATATCGCGATACGTTTGCTAACTGTAGAGAATATTTAATGCGAAGATACAAAGCGCGCAACTTTGAGGAAGTCTACAGGAACATTAGTGCTTACGGCGTTATTTGCCCCGTAACGACAATACTCAACTACGCATGGCACTTCGAGAGAGATCGCTACGACTGGAGTCTCAAGATTTGCACCGCACCTCTCGAAAAATACAACAAACGCTTTCAACCCAACGCAACTATCAGGACCTACGACATACAACCTGTCATGGCAGCCCCTCAATCAAGCGTTCATACTGGTGAACCTGGATCGGCACTTGTTTCGGCTCAATTAATTCTAGCGAGTTATTGTTTGTCGCACAAAGCCGCGGGGCACTATCTAGCATCCTGTACCGGCAAACGCAACCTTCCACTGAGCAATAACCTTATTCTGTTCAAATATGCAAGAGCGCCAGAGCCGTGTAATGGGAATTTGAAATTCACTTGTCTCGTTGTTCTGGACCGTCACTACAATCTGGTAGGCTCTGAGATTCTTGAGGACAAGCGCAGGATGAAATGGAGCGACGTGAAAATTGTTGAAAAACTTGTGAAGGAAATAAATGCTACGTGTCCTGTTATTCATAACGGGAGCCCAGGGAGGAAAATCCCTATTGTATAAAAGTTAAGGCCTGTTTGCACCGGTGAGCTCCATATACACCTGGAGAACGTAACGAATTTTAATCATTCGGCCTATGGTGAAGTGAAGTCAAGATGGCGGAATACGCCCTTTCAATAATTACGTCATTTGGCCTGTCACTCTCATGAGTCGTGAGCCAATCACCTTGCGTAATTTACTAATGAGAGCGAGGTTCCAGGATCAAAAAGTATGTGTGACGTAATTATCGAAAGGATCGTAAACAGTTTCAACACTACGCTTCATATTTCCAAGCCAATTCCAGTTTGGTATCTAACGGACCGTTTCGCTAATGAAGTTAATGAGCATGCCAATGACTATACTGGCTTTTGGTATATAGGGTCTATATATATGGGCATACTCATGAGTATATTGGATTATATAGATTCACTTCACACCACTATAGATAGATCGATAGATTGATCGATAGATCGATAGATAGATCGATAGATTGATAGATAGATGCATTAATTTGGTTTTATTACGATTTTGTTACTTCGCAAATTAATTTTTTAAGAAAATTATTTAAGACAAGCTGGAATAAAAGTTTTAGAAAATCTTTGTGTGTTTATAGCTTTGGGAATTCCGAACTTTTTGAGTGTTTTCAAATGCAAGGAAGGCGACAAGGCGTAATAATATAAATGTATAGAACAGGTATGGTATTACGAATGTATAGACTGGTGTTTGCATTAAGTTGTTTTCTTTTTTATATTCTGCAAAGATCATTCTGCAATGTTTAAAAAGCTTTCTAAAAAACTATCAAATTTTTCCATGATGTTTTACAACAGAGAAACGTCGCAGTTGCTACGTGACAAGCCGGAAACTTTACCCGGTAAGCGGGATAACGTTATATGAACAGAACAAAATTATTTGGCTAGTCGAAAACTTTTCCCCATATGAAAAGGCCCTAAGATCAAATGAAAGAACTCTCACGTATTTAGCTCCATTATCCAAAATTTTCTAATAGTTTATAGAGTCATGGACATGGTTGAATTATGTCCTCCTTTGTAGGCATATTGATCAGAGTCAATTGAATCTCTTGTGATGTCTGCGATCTCATTTTTGTGCACTCATCTCTCAAATAGTACGTTTATTAATAATTAATTTACCTACCAGACTGTCAAACTGAAACTTGCAGTTTTTCAAACCCTGGGGCTGCTCCATTTACTGTTCTAGAACATTTGGAACACTGTTCTGGAACGATATAAAATGGAGTGCACCACGGTGTTCTGGAACAGTGTTGAGTTTATTATGTATGCATGCAACCATGCATCACTATATTCATTAGTTATTCGCATAATAAATCGTATAATGATGATTTGCTGTTATTTGTATATCTAAGTATGCTTTTGCAACGTTTTTACTCGTTGATGTTGCCCAACCCTGGCGTTCAAATAGCATATAATAAGCGCGATATATAGCGGTTAACCCTTCAAAATAACACTCTATGCAGACGCAGTGTGCATTGGATACACAAAATCTGTCGCCTTCATTTCCAATCACGTAAAAATGGGCAGTGTCACGTGTTCTGTCTCCCACTCTGAAGTTGGGGTAGCCAGAACAATTCCAAACAGTCATGTGATCGTGTTCTGTCCCATTCCATTCCATTAGGGAAAGTACATTTATTACGCCGAGGGGGGATGAAGTGTCTTGGAAAAAAGCTGCTTCTTTCACCTCACTAGCTCCAGATGAAATGGCACCGTCTTTAAAAAAACATTTTAGATTGGCTCTAGGGGCGAAATTATTAACAGGTTGTTGTTGTCCGTCATTCAGCGTAGTCGGTATAGGTGATTTCATGTATCCATTTAGAAGAGCAGATTAAGGATATCTTAAAACTGAAATCGGTTTCGAATACAACCATCAGGGACGTAGCAAAGCATCTGACGTTGGGGGGATGTTGGAGGATTATACGTGTAATAATTATAATAAAGCTTTTTGTGATTGATTGGCACTCTCATACTAAATCTTGGGAGAAAAGGGGGTCTGAGGGTCCTCCCCCAAAAAAGTTTTACATTTTTGAAGCTCTAGGACTGAATTTCTGTAAATTAACCTACCATTATTCGGGGCATTTCTCTTTGATCATCAAAATAACAACGGGCAAGTTGGTCATGGAGGATTTTACTTTATCGGCAAACCACGTCACAAGGCA